ATCATCTTAAAAATATATTAAAATGTTAATTAAAATACAAAAAAATGTATATTAATTTTGGTTTTAAAAAAATTTAAGTTCCAAGTTGAAATGATTTCATTTCATTTAATTTAAATTCAATTCAAAATTTAAAATTTTAAAAATTTAAATTAAATTAAAAAATACTGTAGCATCAAGTCTTCAGGATAAAATACTCGAAAAAGAGAAGATCCTAAATATTCGAATAAATAAAAGGATATACCAAGACACCAAAAAAAATAGAAGCATATACCGGGATATTAAAGAGAATATGATAAAATGGATGCATACCTTGCATCCGTCGATCCCGAATTGAAAGAGACGAATACCGTTTGCCTTCAGAAACTCATTATTGGGCTCTGGATACGGTTCTGGGCACAAATTTCTGTATTTCCAGAGGTATGAATGGAGAGGACAAAATTATGATCACAAAAATTTTCACTAAAAAAAATACAAGAAAACGATCACAAAACAAGGATAAGAAAGCAAGGGAGATGGCAAGATCTGACTCACATAATCGAACGGAGCCCTAAGGACTGCAGGAACTTGAAATTGGCGGAATCAGGGAAACCGGACCTGAAAACACCATTATCGACCATGGCGAAATTCAAAGGAGGCACGAAAATTTCATCGCCGACAACGTGTTCGTGGTTCTCCCCTACCATTTCCGGCGATTTAAACGGCTGAGACGCGTCGACCACTGCACCAATCTCTCCTCCCCCGCGGGCTTCCAGTATCATGCCTTAGGTGACAAAGATTTCAGGAAATGCAAAGGGATATTGGGGATATGGAAGAGTGTGATTCAGAATCAGAATTTGATGAATCTTCCGTGGAATACAACTTTTCTTTGGATGCGCAATGACGCGGGTTTTGGCCTTTTGGGGATTTAAGAGATGTTTGGATGAATAACGACAAACGGACCACAATTCTCACGTAACTTCGTTTAAAATATTAAATACTAAAAGATCTAACTTATATTATTAAATAACGATTGGATGTTAATTTTAATCTTTATATTTTTTATTTTGAATATTTTTATTTTTAAATTATTTTTTATATTTTTTTAGTTTTCATACCACAAAAAAATGTAATTTTTTAATTTTTTGTTAATTAATTTATTAAATTTATTTAAAATATATATTTTTAATTTCTAAACTTATAATATATATTTTTAGTTCTTAAATTTAAATTTAAACACTGAAAAAGTACATATTAATAAACTTAACAAAATAATTAACGAAAATATTAAAAAAATATATTTTTCATAATTTTTCTTAATTAAAGCAATTATTATAATTTAAAGATAAAAGTAGTGTAAAAAATAGTTCAAAAATAAAAAATATTTAAAATTAAAATTTTGAGAATTAAAATTAATATTTAATCTTTAATAATTAACGTTTTTAATTTTATTAAAATTTAAAATATTATATCCATTAACTTATTTAATAATTTATCTTATATCATATTATTATTAGTTCTAAATTCTCAATTTCTCACTTTCGTGTGATGTGTCACAGCTCAATTTGGATGGGCCAATGGAGAGATGACGTGTGTGAAGGAAAAGAAAATAGTTACGGAAAAAATAACGAAAAACTATATTTTTATACTTCCTATATCTAATTTTAATGATTTTAATTTTAATTTTAAAATTTCAAATATAAATTTTAAATAAAAATTTAATAATTTATATAAACAATAAAAATGCCATAATTTTCATAAGCTCAGGGATTATATATATTATAAATTTAAAAATGAAAAATGTGTATATTCAAGTAAAATTAACAGGCTAAAACTGTCTTAGAAAGTACTTTTTAGTTACCTTAGTTTTTGGTTTTTTTATTTTTTTATCATCTTAAAAATATATTAAAATGTTAATTAAAATACAAAAAAATGTATATTAATTTTGGTTTTAAAAAAATTTAAGTTCCAAGTTGAAATGATGTCATTTCATTTAATTTAAATTCAATTCAAAATTTAAAATTTTAAAAATTTATCTTGTTAAATACTGATATTTGCATTTAGAAACTGATTATATACTTTAATATAACTGATTTCTAAATTCATATATCAATATCTAATCAAATGAATTTTTAAAATTTGAATTAAATTTTTGGTTTTAAATGTAAATATTAATACTTAATAACATTGATTTCTAAATTTTAAATTAAATTTTAATTAATTGAAACGAAATTCTTTAAAATTGAAACTCTATTTTTTTATTAATTTATTCTTTAATTTTATCATGTACCAAAAAAAATCATTAATTTTCCTAAGCTACTAAAATTATATTTTTAATTTAATTTAATTATTAAAAATAGCTAATAATAATAAAATAATTAATATTTATTATTTAATGAATTAAAATTAATTTATAAACAAAGATTTACATATGTTTATAATTAACTGTTAAAGAAAAATATAAACAAATAAAACTATAATTAAAATTGGTGGTTTTAACAAAATTTTTGTTGGTATAAATCTGAATGAAATGTTAAACTAATAAATGCATACAATATCTCAAAGATCTCTAAATAAAAAATTAATTATATAATAACACATTATATATATTATAAATTTATAATACTACGCAATATTGTAATTATAATATTTTTTATTAAAAAAAGTAAAAATCAAGTTATCTAAACAGTTACCTTGTATTTATATTAGAGAGAATGAAGAGGAGAGAAAGGAGAGGGAAAATTTCTTCCTCCGTTCCTCTTCTCTCTTCTTTTT